GTCTGTTCTGCACTAAGCTTGGCAAGCAAGGCTAGGAACTGTCTAGCTAATGTAGAAGCGATCCATGGACCTGACTGACTGGCTTAGACCTATATGGTGCTGAATGAACAGCAGGGGAGGTAGGAGCTGTCCATGGTTCTGAAAGACGAGTGGGCCTAAAGGAAAGCAGGATTTTGACCACATGTTCAATAATTTGGCTGCCACAACCTGCCACACATCTACCAAATAGAAACAAAGCATTTACTGGGTACATCAATGTAACTTGTAGCAAGCAAGAAAGAACCTAGGTCAATTTGAGCTCAATACCCTACCTTTATACAGTGAGAGGGCTTTCGTTGTAAGAGGAGGCCTTGAAAGGTGAGGCAGACTCTTCTTGAGACTGGAACAGGCATATGTACATTGGAAGTCTGCCAAAACCAACTTCAAATATGTCATTGTTTGCTGAAATGTCCACTTGCTCTTCAAAATTCCTAAGTCTGCATTCTATTCTGATATTGTTGAACTATTACTTTGGAAAACATAAATAGCTTATTCTTTATCTTTTTTTGGCTGCCTGGACATTGTTCCCTTGTTAATCTTTCATATATTTTTGGCAGCTTTTTCTTTTTGAACTTGTGTGTGGATTGTAGCAGCTATCTTCAGTTTATTTTGCATGAAATCACAGGGTTCAAATAGGAATAGCAGGTTACTTAGTATGCTGATTTCACATGGTTCACAACCGAATATGAAATAGCCAAAGAGACAACAGTATAATTAAACACTTGAATAGAAACATGCTTTAGAGAAGTATATGCTTTGATCAAATCATATAGGCCTATAGGCTAATTCTGATACAGTGGGAGAAAAAAGTATTTAATCAGCCACCAATTGTGCAAGTTCTCCAACTTAAAAAGATGAGAGAGGCCTGTAATTTTCATCATAGGTACACGTCAACTATGACAGACAAAATTAGAAGAAGAAATTCCAGAAAATCACATTTATAATGAATTTATTTGCAAATTATGGTGGAAAATAAGTATTTGGTCAATAACAAAAGTTTCTCAATACTTTGTTATATACCGTTTGTTGGCAATGACACAGGTCAAACGTTTTCTGTAAGTCTTCACAAGGTTTTCACACACTGTTGCTGGTATTTTGGCCCATTCCTCCATGCAGATCTCCTCTAGAGCAGTGATGTTTTGGGGCTGTTGCTGGGCAACACAGACTTTCAACTCCCTCCAAAGATTTTCTATGGGGTTGAGATCTGGAGACTGGCTAGGCCACTCCAGGACCTTGAAATGCTTCTTACGAAGCCACTCCTTCGTTGCCCGGGCGGTGTGTTTGGGGTCATTGTCATGCTGAAAGACCCAGCCAAGTTTAATCTTCAATGCCCTTGCTGATGGAAGGAGGTTTTCACTCAAAATATCACGATACATGGCCCCATTCATTCTTTCCTTTACACGGATCATTCGTCCTGGTCCCTTTGCAGAAAAACAGCCCCAAAGCATGATGTTTCCACCCCCATGCTTCACAGTAGGTATGGTGTTCTTTGGATGCAACTCAGCATTCTTTGTCCTCCAAACACGACGAGTTGAGTTTTTACAAAAAAGTTCTATTTTGGTTTCATCTGACCATATGACATTCTCCCAATCCTCTTCTGGATCATCCAAATGCACTCTAGCAAACTTCAGACGGGCCTGGACATGTACTGGCTTAAGCAGGCGGACACGTCTGGCACTGCAGGATTTGAGTCCCTGGCGGCGTAGTGTGTTACTGATGGTAGGCTTTGTTACTTTGGTCCCAGCTCTCTGCAGGTCATTCACTAGGTCCCCCTGTGTGGTTCTGGGATTTTTGCTCACCGTTCTTGTGATCATTTTGACCCCACGGTGTGAGATCTTGCGTGGAGCCCCAGATCGAGGGAGATTATCAGTGGTCTTGTATGTCTTCCATTTCCTAATAATTGCTCCCACAGTTGATTTCTTCAAACCAAGCGGCTTACCTATTGCAGATTCAGTCTTCCCAGCCTGGTGCAGGTCTACAATTTTGTTTCTGGTGTCCTTTGACAGCTCTTTGGTCTTGGCCATAGTGGAGTTTGGAGTGTGACTGTTTGAGGTTGTGGACAGGTGTCTTTTATACTGATAACAAGTTCAAACAGGTGCCATTAATACAGGTAACGAGTGGAGGACAGAGGAGCCTCTTAAAGAAGAAGTTACAGGTCTGTGAGAGCCAGAAATCTTGCTTGTTTGTAGGTGACCAAATACTTATTTTCCACCATAATTTGCAAATAAATTCATTAAAAATCCTACAATGTGATTTTCTGGATTTGGCTGGGTCTTTCAGCATGACAATGATCCCAAACACATCGCCCGGGCAACGAAGGAGTGGCTTCGTAAGAAGCATTTCAAGGTCCTGGAGTGGCCTAGCCAGTCTCCAGACCTCAACCCCATAGAATATCTTTGGAGGGAGTTGAAAGTCTGTGTTGCCCAGCGACAGCCCCAAAACATCACTGCTCTAGAGGAGATCTGCATGGACGAATGGGCCAAAATACCAGCAACAGTGTGTGAAAACCTTGTGAAGACTTACAGAAAACGTTTGACCTGTGTCATTGCCAACAAACGGTATATAACAAAGTATTGAGAAACTTTTGTTATTGACCAAATACTTATATTCCACCATAATTTGCAAATAAATTCATTAAAAATCCTACAATGTGATTTTCTGGAATTCTTTTTCTCAATTTGTCTGTCATAGTTGACCTGTACCTATGATGAAAATTACAGGCCTCTCTCATCTTTTTAAGTGGGAGAACTAAGCACAATTGGTGGCTGACTAAATACTTTCCCCCCCCACTGTATATGTACATAGCATATGCCATGTAAGATAGGCTAATCACATTTGGACATTCTTTTTGTATAGCTTAATTTTTTTTATCAGTCTACTGTAGTTTGAATTAAGAAGACATGTCTGTATAGTATATATAGTATGTATGTATAGTCACACTTTGTCGCCCTGATAAAAACTGTAATAACCAAAACGTGCCAGAGTGACCTAGCCTACTTCAATTATTCTATGCAAAACAATATTGTCGTCTTTAATTTTAACCAAATAATGTATCGTGCTTCGTTTGAAGAAAGATATGAGGCTATGATTATGCAGTATTCAAATTGTGATTGTTCGCTTTTATCACTGATCTAAGGGTTTCGTTATTATAGTAATATTACTATCACAGGAAATGGCACAACGTATGGCTCGTTATAGACCACAGAATAGGCGGGGGGCGTAATAGGCGTGTAGTTATAGGCCCTACCCATAAGAAAATCTAATCTACAAAAGCTGCATGCAATTACATCATTTCGCTCAAATATAGAAAAAATAAACATAAAAAATAGAGGCAGGCTTGTATGTCTCTTTCTCTTCTTGGAAGGGGAGACAGTCATTCATACAACTTTCATCCATATTAATGCAGGAGCATGCTTTTGAAATCAAAGCTGTATTCCATTGGGGACAGGAAATACAAATTAGCTTCTGATTTACGAAATTTGTGCGCAATATTAGTCACATAAAAAAATATATATATTTCATATTGCTTTACCACATTTGATCGTAGACCTATAGGCCTAAATATAAAAAAAATAATGTGCTAAAGCCCACAACGTTCATTCGTTAGCGACATACTTTTTTATTTATCATTAGGGCTCATGCAACGCAAACGCCTGTCGCCTGCCACTGCTAATCTCGATTCCATCTAATCGTTTGCACATTAGGATGCTTTATCGGATATATTTCATTTGATACGAGAGACGGAAGGATTTTTTACATTCTAAATACTGTAGCCTGTTTCAATGTTTCTATTTTTCCTAGCCACAGTGGCCAGTCGCTTTGAGATTTTACGTTTTTGCCCAGAAAGACAAACAGCAATATGGCCTGCTGCTTTCTCTCCCCTCTCCCCCAAATCAATGAAGTGACTCGATGTGTGTGTGTGTTCGAGTGAATATTAAATGATTGACTGCTTCATCTCGTTTGCTTCAAAGCCATAAATGAACCCAACATCCAAAGACCGTGAGATATTTTTACCAAAGACACCTGTCAACATCATTGAGCTAGGCCAACATCAGCTATGCTGTTTTACACACCACTAATGTACACATTTTGGCAGCATAATGTAGGCTACACATTTTGGAACAAAACTACAAATAGTAACATGTTAAAATCTGAACCACACACTTATTTTCAAACATGAACTGTTTTATTTAATATTCTTCGTACTTTTAGCAATCAGATTTTTTATATAATAATCAATCTATTTTTAAAACTGTTTGGGATAAAGTATCGGTATATTTATTTAATTCCTTTGATATACATAGTCTCTTATTTACTTAAATTATTAGAAATAGTCAGGTATTATATGCAACATCCCCAAAAACAAACAAAAAAACATAATACACATCTTTTGAAGGTAGTGAAACGTGGTCTATGCCTTAGCAACATCAAATAAAGCTAGCTTAATTTCACTTCATCCAACTACTGATTTCGCATTCTGAGTATTCTCGTGCTACTGTAGCCTACTTTTGGGATGTATGGTCTCATGTAGGCTATACCCTAGGGGTAGCCTATATTTGTTCGTAAATTGATGGGTAATGGGCCGACATAATGGCAACAGTCATATCACTCTTCAGCCACTGTTTTCGTTGTCTACATTGGCAAACTTTAAGTAATCGTATTGCCATAGTCTACTTTTCACGTAATAACCAACCTGCCATTGAATTCTTGTAGTCGTTCCTGAGTTCAATTTTTTCATTCTTATTACTATGATATATTATATTTATTTTTTCTAGGGTGATGGTTAGGCTAAAAGTAGAAACATCAGATCCTCAAACAACCATTTCAATGTATACTTGGCTCGACATGATACATTTCGCAAAATAAAGTAAATAACATCTAAATGGTGAATATTGGAGACCGACCTGGAGATTTCCTTGAGCTAAGCGTGCCTCGCATTAGCCTACAGAGTATGAGCAGCTTGCAATCACCTGAAATAACAGATGTCTAGGCCTATAGGCTACTAATATAAATAATTAATCGTCGACTTTAATACTATGTAATTCCACGATTGCAACCGGGCGAGGATCCATCAAAATGTCATCATAATTTCAACTCAACACCTGCTAAATATTTAATGTAATTGACCCCAGGTCAGACAAATATGGTGCACCAGTCCCGGAAGACGACCCGCCAATGTCTCTAGCAAAATCAGGTCGCTTTCCCGGATGAAGTATAAATCCATTTGGGTGTAAATGAATTCAAACGTCTCTTTTGTTTTTTATTTTTTGTGTCGATAGCTAGCACTTTTTTTCCCTTTTATCTTCTTCTTCTTTGTTTGTTTTTTGGCCTTGTTTTTTAATTTTTCTATTTGCTAAAATGAGAGCCAAGTCACTAAGGCGGAAAGTGCCGTTAGAAGTATGGTGAGACCTAAAGGGACTGTGGATTTGGAGGCCCCGTTCCCCCCGCCACAGAGTTCAAACAAGCTCCCTCTGAACTCCAAGTTTCTGGACTCCTTTTTAAGCTTCTCCCATAGATCTGATGCTCCCTCTTGGCAATCCACCAGCGCAGTGGTCGCACATGAGTGGAAGTCATCCCAATATCTGCAAATCAAATGCAAAAGCAACAAGACAGGCGTTAGAATATTATATTACTGTTATAATACTGTTCTCTCTCTTCATCAGTTGTCCGTGCTGTATTCGAATAGCCTAAATAGTTTTATTTTAACACTGTTTTAATAACAACAGAACACCTAAAATAATTCCAGTAATAAATGCATAATAATAATAATACTATATAATAATAATTATATTTGTGTATTGTAATCTATAGGCCTAATGTCGATAGGCTAGTATTAACACCTCCCTGGTAGGCCAAACAAAATCTATATTGGTTGTAATCCACACACTCTGAGAAAGATTCCCTGAAGTCACGTGATTTTATCCAACCCCTCCCTCCTTCAATTTCTCTACTCCTCTCTCAATCCAATACAATTTCAATTCAATTTAAGTGGCTTTATTGGCATGGGAAACGTATGTTTACATTGCCAAAGCAAGTGAAATAGATAATAAACAAAAGTGAAATAAACAATAAAAAATGAACAGTAAACATTACACTCACAAAAGTTCCAAAAGAATAAAGACATTTCAAGTGTCATTATGTCTATATATACAGTGTTGTAATGATGTGCAAATAGTTAAAGTACAAAAGGGAAAAAAAATAAACATAAATATAGGTTGTATTTACAATGGTGTTTGTTCTTCACTGGTTGCCCTTTTCTTGTGGCAACAGGTCACAAATCTTGCTGCTGTGATTGCACACTGGTATTTCACCCAATAGATATGGTAGTTTATCAAAATTGAATTTGTTTTCCAATTCTTTGTGGGTCTGTGTAATCTGAGGGAAACGTATGTCTCTAATATGGTCATACATTTGTCAGGAAGTTAGGAAGTGCAGCTCAGTTTTCACCTCATTTTGTGGGCAGTGTGCACATAGCCTGTCTTCTCTTGAGACCCAGGTCTGCCTTCGGTGGCCTTTCTCAATAGCAAGGCTATGCTTATTGAGTCTGTACATAGTCAAAGATTTCTTTAATTTTGGGTCAGTCACAGTGGTCAGGTATTCTGCCACTGTGTACTCTCTGTTTAGGGCCAAATAACATTCTAGTTTGCTCTGTTATTTTGTAAATTCTTTCCAATGTGTCAAGTAATTATCTTTTTGTTTTCTCATGATTTGGTTGGGTCTAATTGTGTTGCTGTCCTGGGGCTCTGTGGGGTCTGTTTGTGTTTGTGAAAAGAGCCCCAGGACCAGCTTGCTTAGGGGAATCTTCTCCGGGTTCATTTCTCTATAGGTGAAGGCAATGTTATGGAAGGTTTGGGAATCGCTTCCTTTTAGGTGGTTGTAGAATTTAACGGCTCTTTTCTGGATTTTTATAATTAGCGAGTATTGGCCTAATTCTGCACTGCATGCATTATTTGGTGTTTTACAATGTACACAGAGGATATTTTTGCAGAATTCTGCATGCAGAGTCTCAATTTGGTGTTTGTCCCATTTTGTGAATTCTTGGTTGGTGAGCGGACCCCAGACCTCACAACCATAAAAGGCAATGTGTTCTATAACTGATTCAAGTATTTTTTGCCAGATCCTAATTGGTATGTCAAATTGTATGTTCCTTTTGATGGCATAGAAGGCCCTTCTTGCCTTGTCGCTCAGATCATTCACAGCTTTGTGGAAGTTACCTGTGGCGCTGATGTTTAGGCCAAGGATTGTATAGTTTTTCATGTGCTCTAGGGCAATGGTGTCTAGATGGACTTTGTATTCGTGGTCTTGGCAACTGGACCTTTTTTGGAACACAATTATTTTCGTCTTACTGAGATTTACTGTCAGGGCCCAGGTCTGACAGAATCTGTGCAGAAGATCTAGGTGCAGCTGTTAGGCCCTCCTTGGTTGGGGACAGAAACACCAGATCATCAGCAAACAGTAGACATTTGACTTCAGATTCTAGTAGGGTGAGGCCGGGTGCTGCAGACTGTTCTAGTGCCCTCGCCAATTCGTTGATATATATATATATATATATATACATGTTGAAGAGGGTGGGGCTTAAGCTGCATCCCTGTCTCACCCCCCTGGCCCTGTGGAAAGAAATGTGTTTTTTGCCCATTTTAACCGCACACTTGTTGTTTGTGTACATGGATTTTATAATGTCGTCTGTTTTCCCCCAACACCACTTTCCATCAATCTGTATAGAAGGCCCTTATGCCAAATTGAGTCAAAAGCTTTTTTGAAATCAACAAAGCATGAGAAGACTTTGTTGCCAATTTTGCCATTGGGTGGAGAGACATTTTTGCAGTTTTAACGCTAATTTCCCTCAGTTCAATACATTTTGCCAAAACTTATACCATGTTAAAGGGATACTTCAGGATTTTGGAAATGAAGCCCGTTATCTACTTCCCCAGAGTCAGATGAACTTGTGGATACCATTTTATGTCTCTGCATCCAGTATGAAGGAAGTTAGAGGTAGTTTCGCAAGCCAATGCTAACCACTAACTGCTAACTACTAGCATGCTAGCAGTTACAGTGGGGGAAAAAAGTATTTAGTCAGCCACCAATTGTGCAAGTTCTCCTCCTTAAAAAGATGAGAGAGGCCTGTAATTTTCATCATAGGTACACGTCAACGATGACAGACAAAATGAGAAAAAGAATTCCAGAAAATCACATTGTAGGATTTTTTATGAATTTATTTGCAAATTATGGTGGAATATAAGTATTTGGTCAATAACAAAAGTTTCTCAATACTTTGTTATATACCCTTTGTTGGCAATGACACAGGTCAAACGTTTTCTGTAAGTCTTCACAAGGTTTTCACACACTGTTGCTGGTATTTTGGCCCATTCCTCCATGCAGATCTCCTCTAGAGCAGTGATGTTTTGGGGCTGTCGCTGGGCAACACGGACTTTCAACTCCCTCCAAAGATTTTCTATGGGGTTGAGGTCTGGAGACTGGCTAGGCCACTCCAGGACCTTGAAATGCTTCTTACGAAGCCACTCCTTCGTTGCCCGGGCGGTGTGTTTGGGATCATTGTCATGCTGAAAGACCCAGCCATGTTTCATCTTCAATGCCCTTGCTGATGGAAGGAGGTTTTCACTCAAAATCTCACGATACATGGCCCCATTCATTCTTTCCTTTACACGGATCAGTCATCCTGGTCCCTTTGCAGAAAAACAGCCCCAAAGCATGATGTTTCCACCCCCATGCTTCACAGTAGGTATGGTGTTCTTTGGATGCAACTCAGCATTCTTTGTCCTCCAAACACGACGAGTTGAGTTTTTACCAAAAAGTTATATTTTGGTTTCATCTGACCATATGACATTCTCCCAATCCTCTTCTGGATCATCCAAATGCACTCTAGCAAACTTCAGACGGGCCTGGACATGTACTGGCTTAAGCAGGGGGACACGTCTGGCACTGCAGGTTTTGAGTCCCTGGCGGCGTAGTGTGTTACTGATGGTAGGCTTTGTTACTTTGGTCCCAGCTCTCTGCAGGTCATTCACTAGCTCCCCCCTTGTGGTTCTGGGATTTTTGCTCACCGTTCTTGTGATCATTTTGACCCCACGGGGTGAGATCTTGCGTGGAGCCCCAGATCGAGGGAGATTATCAGTGGTCTTGTATGTCTTCCATTTCCTAATAATTGCTCCCACAGTTGATTTCTTCAAACCAAGCTGCTTACCTATTGCAGATTCAGTCTTCCCAGCCTGGTGCAGGTCTACAATTTTGTTTCTGGTGTCCTTTGACAGCTCTTTGGTCTTGGCCATAGTGGAGTTTGGAGTGTGACTGTTTGAGGTTGTGGACAGGTGTCTTTTATACTGATAACAAGTTCAAACAGGTGCCATTAATACAGGTAACGAGTGGAGGACAGAGGAGCCTCTTAAAGAAGAAGTTACAGGTCAGTGAGAGCCAGAAATCTTGCTTGTTTGTAGGTGACCAAATACTTATTTTCCACCATAATTTGCAAATAAATTCATAAAAAATCCTACAATGTGATTTTCTGGAGAAGAAAATCTCAATTTGTCTGTCATAGTTGACGTGTACCTATGATGAAGATTACAGGCCTCTCTCATCTTTTTAAGTGGGAGAACTTGCACAATTAGTGGCTGACTAAATACTTTTTTTCCCCACTGTACCATAGACTACTCATTGTGCTAATGCTAGTTAGCAATTGCGCTAACGCTAAATTACAACTTCCTTTAAACTGCATGCAGAGATATAAAAAGGATATCAACGAGTTCATCTGACTCTGAAAGTAGATAAAGGGCTTTATTGCCCAAAATCCTGGAATTCAGGGCCCCTGGCCACATGCCCTGCGTGGTAGGTATGTATTCGACCATGGTTATTACAATTTTAGATAGCTGGCTAGACCAATTTACCAAACAAAAATTGTTAGCTGAAATTGATAATTGAGTGACTGTCAGTGACTGACATAACAAGAGAAAAACTGCTGATGCACAACCAAATTTCGAAATTGCACCTTGTTTATTTTACTATTGTAAGTGTATTCTACTATTTTTTGGGGGGGGCCCTAATTGACTGCTTATGTTGCTTATCGCTTATGTTGCTTATGCCCGGAGCCGGCGAACTACAGTGAGGGAAAAAAGTATTTGATCCCCTGCTGATTTTGTACGTTTGCCCACTGACAAAGACATGATCAGTCTATAATTTTAATGGTAGGTTTATTTGAACAGTGAGAGACAGAATAACAACAACAAAAATCCAGAAAAACGCATGTCAAAAACGTTATAAATTGATTTGCATTTTAATGAGGGAAATAAGTATTTGACCCCTCTGCAAAACATGATTTAGTACTTGGTGGCAAAACCCTTGTTGGCAATCACAGAGGTCAGACGTTTCTTGTAGTTGGCCACCAGGTTTGCACACATCTCAGGAGGGATTTTGTTCCACTCCTCTTTGCAGATCTTCTCCAAGTCATTAAGGTTTCGAGGCTGACGTTTGGCAACTCGAACCTTCAGCTCCCTCCACAGATTGTCTATGGGATTAAGGTCTGGAGACTGGCTAGGCCACTCCAGGACCTTAATGTGCTTCTTCTTGAGCCACTCCTTTGTTACTTTGGCCGTGTGTTTTGGGTCATTGTCATGCTGGAATACCCATCCACGACCCATTTTCAATGCCCTGGCTGAGGGAAGGAGGTTCTCACCCAAGATTTGACGGTACATGGCCCCGTCCATCGTCCCTTTGATGCGGTGAAGTTGTCCTGTCCCCTTAGCAGAAAAACACCCCCAAAGCATAATGTTTCCATCTCTGTTTGACGGTGGGGATGGTGTTCTTGGGGTCATAGGCAGCATTCCTCCTCCTCCAAACACGGCGAGTTGAGTTGATGCCAAAGAGCTCGATTTTGGTCTAATCTGACCACAACACTTTCACCCAGTTCTCCTCTGAATCATTCAGATGTTCATTGGCAAACTTCAGACAGGCCTGTATATGTGCTTTCTTGAGCAGGGGGACCTTGCGGGCGCTGCAGGATTTCAGTCCTTCACGGCGTAGTGTGTTACCAATTGTTTTCTTGGTGACTATGGTCCCAGCTGTCTTGAGATCATTGACAAGATCCTCCTGTGTAGTTCTGGGCTGATTCCTCACCGTTCTCATGATCATTGCAACTCCACGAGGTGAGATCTTGCATGGAGCCCCAGGCCGAAGGAGATTGACAGTTCTTTTGTGTTTCTTCCATTTGCGAATAATCGCACCAACTGTTGTCACCTTCTCATCAAGCTGCTTGGCGATGGTCTTGTAGCACATTCCAGCCTTGTGTAGGTCTACAATCTTGTCCCTGACATTGGAGAGCTCTTTGGTCTTGGCCATGGTGGAGAGTTTGGAATCTGATTGATTGATTGCTTCTGTGGACAGGTGTCTTTTATACAGGTAACAAGCTGAGATTAGGAGCACTCCCTTCAAGAGTGTGCTCCTAATCTCAGCTCGTTACCTGTATAAAAGACACCTGGGAGCCAGAAATCTTTCTGATTGAGAGGGGGTCAAATACTTATTTCCCTCATTAAAATGCAAATCAATTTATAACATTTTTGACATGCGTTTTTCTGGATATTTTTTTTGGTTATTCTGTCTCTCACTGTTCAAATAAACCTACCATTAAAATTATAGACTGAATATTTATTTGTCAGTGGGCAAACGTACAAAATCAGCAGGGGATCAAATACGTTTTTCCCTCACTGTAGCTAGCCAATCCCCCATTCTCACATCCCTAACGTCCAATCACATGTACAGTTTTTGGGCTATAATATTCCATTCCCACATAGGTTGTGTGTTTCAAAGGAGCCACTGCTCCAAATTGTCATATTTAGCTGGCGTGTGGCTCCCCCCTGAACCTGACTCTGTATCTAATCCAATGGAGTTGTCAAATAAACTGGGCCCTTGTGCCATTTTGCACCAACCTGTTTGGAATATGGGGTGTGGTTTGCCTGCTTGATCCTTTTTGTAGTTGATCAAATTCTGCATGGGTATTTTTCTTTCCTTTTATTTTTCAACTTACGTGCAGATGGTCTGTAGATTTTCCTTCTCGTCCAGCTCCTGTGGATAGTTAGCCATATTCTCCCCCAGTCTCAGCAAGCAGTTGGAGAACCCTTTGAATACTGTATCACATTTCCCTGTTGCTCTCACCGCATGTAGCAGATAAGCTGGAATTGGGGGGGAAAAAATAATTTATTCACTTTTGTAATTTTAGTTCACTCTTTTTTATCGTGATTAATTGCAATGTCTGAAAACATAAAAATTACATAATCTATACAGCAAAAAACAATGCAATGTCAAAACAAGTTAACATTGAGGTTAAAGAAAGGATGCTTTATCAATTTACCAGATTTTACTAACTGTTACATTGGACAAAATCAAAACGTCAATATTCGTGTAATGCTTTTTGTATAAAAAAAAATCTTAAATTATGCCTACAGCTCAATTTGAACAACTCCTGTGATTAACTTGATTACTTTGTTTTATTGTTTGACAGCCTTACTTTTTTAGGATGATGACGTTTTGTTTCCATTTGAATGCCTATGTCTTATAATGACAGGCTAAAGTTAAGTTGCTTTTCATGGTGATTTGTTTTTAATTTTATCCAGTTTGTTCATTCACCATTTATTTCCTTAATTCAGCCTATTTGGTTTTTATATAGCCTGGCTGACATGACTCACAGTGCAGGGAAAGATGTGACCACACTGGTCTGGAAAGGACTGGAGGCCGTTTGTTAATGCAATATTTGCTCAGAAATTGTGTGATGGGTTTGATTGGTTCTCTCAAATGTTTTTTTTTTTCTCGGGGGTTGAGACCTCTGGTTGTTTGGATTTGAAATTCCAACCATTGTAATAGAAGGGGCAGCACTGGGGGCTGTGTGTGGCTGTGCCTGTGGGTGTTTGGGTGAAAAAGAAACAGAGGAGAGCCAACCAATAAAAGCACAGCCCTCTTCATTATCAACGCATTTTGACATCAAAGACATATTCAAGACTGAAGTCAGGAGGACTTCGAGAGTTAGGCGTTAACCAGACTATGTTTTATATGCGAATGGTTAACAATGAACCATATAACTTATTGTCAAGAAATATCGGAATGTTTTCCCCTAATATAATGTTAGTTTTTATATATCCAACAACTTCCTTGCACTTGATCATACACTAGTGTTTGGAGAATGCATTGGGAGATCCCAGCCCATAACATTGAACGCCACGAAAATGTGTGCAACAGCAACAAAGGAGGATGAGGTAATGCACCGCTGAGCTACAGTGAGAAAAAGGGGGGTGTTTCTCACTGCATGGCTTTTGTGTGTGTGTGTGTGTGTGTATGTGTGTGTGTGTGTGTGTGTGTGTGCGTGTGCGTGCGGGGATGGGGGTACCCTTTGCTATTGTAAATTGTAGTAATATCTGTGTCTGTGTTTATTCAACAAGATTAGGGGGCGTTCTACATCTTTTATAATTCGTTTAATAGTGAAAATGACAGGGTTGTTGCAAAACGTACACGCCTCCATCCAACCCTTTTTACACCCTCGAACTCAATTTTTTGTTTGCCAATGGTGGGACGCACCGAGCATCTCTGGTTCGTTAAGCAGGATAATCGCTCGATTGACCATTTGTTACAATGGTGTCCCAGGTCGATTGGTTGCAGAATAATGCACAACCTCTGTTATAGGCATTTAGGTTTAGGTCATGTGTTGATAATATACGCATCACGTTTTCGTTAAATAGCGTAGTAAAACATGTGAGGCTACTCTTATTGCCATCATGCCCTATAGTAAATAGGGCTGTAGCCTACAAGCAATACAATGTCACCAAATATGTTATGCGAAATGTTGTAATAGACTCTGGCAAGGTCAAATTAATGCGTTAATTCGAAAGACAAGAATGAATGTTGCTGCGTCTCGAGGAGCAACCTGCTCGCATTTCAAATTATTTATAATGTGGCAACGAGCAAGATGATTTGATCATTTGCATTGTAAAATTACACATAACCACCCTATAACCTAGCAGTTCACCGTGTGCCATGTCACAAACCCTGTCTCTGTATTCGACTTCGAAATGCAATCATCATTATGGTCAGAAATTATATGATGCAAGATGGCAAGTTCACAGCAACTAACTACATGGCACCTTCGAATTATAGAACGATAACATTCGATCCAATACAGTCTATAATGCAGAACTAACGTTACATCTATCAAGACAACGTCGTTTCATTCGTTTTAGTAGCCTAAGAAGAATATTATCTTGTAAAATGTGGTAATTACTTTTACATTTGCAATAACAGGTTTGAAATCTATGTGCCCTCTATCCGATTTTAATTTTTAGGGGACATTTCTGCCAAATGTGTGAAATGAGGACAGTGTGTTAGAGAATCCTCTACACGTGTTTCTCGCACTCAGCATAGACTCAGCTCTTAGCTCCAATAGATAGCCATATTGCTAGCTACAGTAGCCTTCATGCTACTATTAGTCACGCCTTCACACCCACACTATAGATTTAGCTAAAGCAAGTCAACCCGCAGCAAACACGGCACATCAACGTAGAATAACCCTCTAAATGCGACCTCTGCGGACGACCCTGCAGTCACAGACAAAACACCAGGTAATATCCAAGTGATAAAAACGACTATCCATAGCCTACCAGTTGCCGTTTTCTAGGTTAATGCTGTGTGTTAGCCGATACCACATCTCAAATAGGCTAAACGATGCAATAAATCGATATGGCTAGCCTACATTCTTAGATATAATCTTAATTATAGCCTCAAAATGGAATAGGCCAAATAGCCCATAGATATAAATAAAACGTAATCTCTATGCGGTTGCCTACATTTGTTGAATTGAAAAGAAATTCTGCAAAGTGAAATACATGTTATCTTCGTAGACTAAATATAGTCTAATAGTCATATTCGTTAATGAAAAATTATCTCACATTTTTCGAAATCCTACTATACATTAGACAGTTCGATATAGCCTACTCCAATGAATTTCGTTTGAAAAAAGAAACGATGCACCTGCTAGACACTCATATCTTAAACGAGCGTCATTGCCTTTAAATGCTGTCTTTTTGTAAAATGTTTCATTCACAAAGCATGTCAAGTCAAAGCATTTCTGTTTTTCCCACAATGTCTCGGCTGCTATGGAATGAATTATTTATAATGAATTCCCTTGCCACTACATGATTCTAAGGAGCAGTGTCTTCCACTGGCAGCGTTAAGCAATGGAAACGAAACACTGGCCTATTTGTGCGAAACACAGGGGGCTGGTGGCGCTTTAATTGGGGAGGACGTGCTCCTAGTAATGGCTGGAATGTTATCAATGGAATGGTATCAAGCACATCAAATGCATGTGTTTGATACCATTCCATTCACCCCATTCCAGCCATTATTATTAGCCGTCCTCCCCTCACCAGCCTCATGTGGTGTGAACGTCCCCATACACGTTTCCAATCGAATTTACATATGCATTCGCATACAATACAAAAATCATTATAACGAATATAAAAAAAACTGGAATGTGACAGCCTTTGGTTTGTTGTGGCTATGTTCGCATGCATCCCATTGCAACCAGAAAATAAACTGATTTCATGCATTCCTTGCAATAAAAAGTCTAGATTTTTTTCCTGAAATGATCGAATAGTTGACATTTCAAATAGTTTGGCTATAATTCTTAACAATTCGCTATTCATTGTTAACTCAAATATAAAAACAAGACCATAACGAATCGACCGTGACAGAGTCACTCACCTAACTGAACAGCAAGAAACAGTGAGATATATTTTCCGGACCAAGTTAATCCCATTCTACGTGTGGTATAACCATTGGCATATGCAGATCTTAAAAACTCTGATGGAAAAACGATGTTGAGGTCTGAGCATCACACATAGCCATCAACTTCCAGAAGCACTCAAGCAGCTTTTTCTCCTGTTGCCTGTTACACAGTGTGGCGAAGAGTGAAATGGTTCACCCCTTGTAAAGCGAGGGCGTCTCTCTCTCTCTCTCTCTCTCTCTCTCTCGCTCTCTCTGCTTCACGCCCACATCGAATGCTTGACGTAAAAGTGACTGTTGGACTCCCGCTTTCTACATTTTCTCATTTGCTAGACAAGTCTTTCCCCCTAGCCCACACCGTACAGTCATTAAAAGAGCTGTGGTGATCTCCGCTGATCTCCTCATCTGTGTCATGGGCACACGTGCGCGCCAAGGACCACACTGCTGGTGTCTAGAGAGCGTGGAGCATTGAGAGAGAAAAAAGAAAGAAAGTTTGTGGTGTATTATAATATATTAATAATAATTTTACCAAAGACGAAAAGACTCAGATTTTGCCAAAAAACAATGTTGTTTAGCTATTATAAAATTGTCCACAGGCCTATATACTACAAAAGCCAAATCGGCGACCTTGCGTTTAGCCTATAATGTTCTAGCTAACTAAGTGAAACTCAATATTGATTGCACTTATTTCTCACAACAGCTTAGGGGACAAGACAAGCAGAGAAGTAGGACAACCCTCATATGTGAGATGTTGTAGCCCAGATATAGCTTATTGCACGCAATGGGAATGCAATTCTTTATTCATTCATCAACGGTATACTGTCTGGTCTCTGGAAACGAATGCTGTTATAACATACGTTCAATCCAAGTCCAGGGCCTCATTTCCCAGAGCCTTCATAGCATTAAGATCATCGTTAGAACCATCTTACGATGTATCTTTAGTAGGCAAGCTGTTTTACAAAAACGATCGTTACCAAAGTTGCACTTGAAAATGCTCGTCATTTACAGAGCGCCTCAGACCACTCATTGAACAGCTAAGTGAGTCTTTACATGCTTTTTGCCCTTCCACGTCAATTTATATATAGAAGATCTCCGCTAAACATAGAATCAAGAGGTTTAACCGTCTCTCTGTGACCTCTGATAACTTCAGAACGAAGTTGACTATAACAAATTCTCCAGTATTAAATCAACACTGACATTGTTAAATTTAACACTGGTCCAGAGTCTATATGGGTCCAAACTTGTCAGTGTTAAATTAACACACTGCTTAGTGTAAAGCCTTATTTGCATATTTCCCAGAGTGTATTGCCTTTTGTTAGTGACAGAGACATGGTGGTTGCATTCATCCATTTTCAGTCCTGTGGCCTTCACCAAATGTAATATTTTGAGGGCATAGCTCTACCCTAATACTTTGGCCTGAAACTCATGGTTTTCAGGTCTGCAAGTCACATTATGAAGGCTTGTAAGTGATGTGTAATTCCTATTGGAATCCAGCCAGAGTGGGGATATCCAACATTTAGAATGACTGCTGGGTTGGGAAGATTAAAGTTTGAGACTACCTAAACCATTTAAACTGGAACAACCATTTCAGTAACAGGTGCAATAAATTCAAGTAACAGATTGGATTAGTTTGAAAATGTATGTTATTTATATTTGAGTAGCATAATATTAATTAATCAATCAATGTACATGCAAAAACATAGATATTGAAACAAACAATCTTTAAAAAATCAACTTGCAATAGAGCATGCTGGGAAATATGATAATGATGGGCGTGGTTTTGGTTTAACACTCTTTACTAACACCAACACTCGGGTTCTTTTACACCAGTGAGTGTTCATTTAACACCTGTATCAACAAAATAAATGTTACAATGAAAAATCAACACTAGGTAACACTAGCCAGTTTTCTGTGTAGACACAAAGTTGCCAATGCAAAGAATAAAAGATGCTTCAAATGAAAAGCAAGATGACTGCACCAAGACAACTGCAAATGGTAAATACATTATAGGCTACATAGACCTATATATTTAAATCACATTGAAATACATTTTATATTAATTCAATTTCAGTCTATTTAACTAATTATAGGCTACTGTCTGTAATGTTTGACTCAATATATTTAATGATGTGCAACAACGTGTGCAATGATGTGCCAAATCTTTATTAAGTGCATTATTATAGGGTAGCCTAAGCATTTAGAATAAGCCGCCACAATATTTGCAGCCATAGATGGTATTGTCAGTATTGTGGAATCATTCTGATGTTAAGGTAAGATTTGAATGGAGAAAGCCAATCCGAGAGCAACACTGCTTTTCTTTCGATCCAATCAGTATCGACACATGGTCTAAAGACGCATTTAGCGAACGTTCTCTCTACGTGCTTGTTTGTCAAACACTTAAAACTGGGAAACGAGGGCCTGATACATTCTCATATTTGACCAATTTGTTCAATCGTATGCTATTCTGAACATGTCTAATGGAGCTATTGCATGCCTGCCTTCGCTGGCACACACAAACAAAATAGCCTATTCGGCGCCTAGGCAAAAACAATCATCTTCACATTAGTGACAAGGAAAAGGGAACCTTCCCCCTTTCCTCGACAGTATAACTGTTGTGAATGACTCACCCAATAATTTCAGATTCAGTGCCAGTCGCATGGTGTCTTATGGGAAGCTGTGTGTGTGTATGCGTGGGCGCACTGTTTGTAGGTGTGTGTGTTGGTAGGTAGGTACTCATTTCAGATTCACTGCAAGGTGTCATGGAAAGCTGTGTGTCTGCGTGTGTGTGTGAGGAAGTCATACACATTGTTTGGATAATGAAAAAAATAGGGAGGAAAAAAATAATTGTCTCTCCCTCGCTGACGTCAGCAGAATTTGTAGCGAGCCAATGAGTTTCACTTTTTTCGTGCCAGACCCGGGGCACTCACCAGAATACTAAAACGTTTCCGTCAGGCAGCTTGCTGAAGGAGAATCCTCACACAGTGAGAACGGCGGACTGCAAGACCCGTCTGCCTCGGCGGACTGCAAGCCCCCCAACAGTTTAGAACGGAGACCGCTGTAATAAGCGTTTAGTGAAGGGCTAGAAACGGTCATATTTGCTGGAGCCCTGAATACTATTACCCCGCCCCCTCTTCCCCTTTCTGATAGGTTGACTATGTTTAGAACCTTGTTTAGAACTATTACCCCCCCCCCATTCATCAAATAACCAGCACAGTTTTTAAACAGCCTTGGATAAGTTTAGAGCCTAACTTCCAATTTATCTTTCATTTTGCAAAATATCATAAGCAAATGGACGCATAGGAATATCAGTGTAGTCTGATGAGCTAGTTATACGGGTCTTCAGAGTCTCTTGTCGCAACTGTCTGATAAAGATCCATGTTCTAGTATGATCATCATAAGATCATCAACTACAGTAGTAGCCTAGTAGACGTCGTCATCATCCGGTGTATTCCTTTTTTCCATTGATAAACTGATATCTTGTCGCCCTCTGGTGGTGGAAGCTTGTTTCTACAGTTAGAATGGTCATAATCCCACACACACACACAAACAAATTAAGCTAATAGTGGAGATTTGGACACCTGCAAGAGCAGAATTTCGAAGTTCCAACACTCAGCACTATATGGCAGTGGATAGTGACAATAAGGCGCATCACCTCCCCCTATACCCTTACATGCTGACCACACCTCCCGCGTTGTGCGCGCGAGCGTTGCAAAATAAATGTACACATACATGTTATTCAATCATTTAACCCAAACTGCTCGTGCGCATCAACGAGCATCAGCGTAGCCAGGTGCTAAAATAGAACTTGGTTGTAATGCATTTTATGCACGCTTTGACAACAACAACATCGAGCCGGGTGTGAGGGCCGTCACCGACCCAGATGACTGGGTGATCTCACTCTCTGAGGCCGACGTGAGAAGGGTCTTTAATGAGGTCAACACCCACAAGGCCGCGGGCCCCGTCTGCCTCGGGGCCCACGGCCTTGTGGGCGTTCTCAGAGCATGCGCAGAACAGCTGGCAGGCATATTCACTGTAATTTTCAAACTCTCCTTGTCCCAGTCCCAACATGTTTTAAGATGACCACAATCATCCCTGTTCATAAGAACTCTAAGATTTCATGCCACAATGATTACCACCCTGTAGCACTCACTTCTGTAATCATGAAGTGCTTTGAGAGGCTGGTTATGGCACACATTAACTCCACCATCCCAGCCACCCTAGACCCACTCCAATTTGCATACCGCCCCAACAGATCCATAGATGACACAATCTCAATTGCTCTCCACACTGCCCTCACCCACCTAGATGAGAGGAATACCTATGTGAGAATGCTGTACATTGACTACAACTCAGCGTTCAACACCATTATCCCCTCCAAGCTCGTCACCAAGCTTAGGACTCTGGGTCTGAACACCTCCCTCTGCAACTGGATCCTGGGCTTTCTGACAGGCTGACCCCAGTTGGTGAGGGTAGGCAACATCACCTCCACCACTCTGACCCTTAACACAGGGGCCACACTGAGTTGTGTGCTTAGTCCCCTGTGATAAGGGTCAGAGTGCTTAGTCCCCTCCTGTACTCTCTGTCACCCACGACTGTGTCGCCACGCACGACTCCAACACCATTATCAAGTTCGCTGATGACACGGCGGTGGGGGCTAACACGCCCCCACCCACATCGACGGGGCAGCAGTGGAGCTGGTAGACAGCTTCAAGTTCCTCTGTGTCCAAATCACTAAAGACTTAAAATGGTCCAAACACACACGCAGTCGTGAAAAAGGAGCGACAGTGCCTCTTCCCCCTCAGGAGGTTGAAAAAGTTTGGCATGGGTCCTCAAATCCTGAAAAGGTTCTACAGCTGTACCATTGAAGGCATATTGACTGGCTGCATCACTGCTTGGTATGGCAATAGCACCGCCCTCGATCGCATGGCGCTTCAGAGGGTGGTGCGGACAGCCCAGTACATCACTGGGGCCGATCTCCCTGCCATCCAGGACCTCTATATCAGGCGGTGTGAAAAGGCCCAGAAAATCGTCACATTTTATTTTTATTTTATTTTATTTATTTCACCTTTATTTAACCAGGTAAGCCAGTTGAGAACAGGTTCTCATTTACAACTGCGACCTGGTCAAGATAAAGCAAAGCAGTGCAATAAAAACAACACAGAGTTACATATGGGGTAAAAAACATAAAGTCAAAAATACAACAGAAAATATATTTACAGTGTGTGCAAATGTAGCAAGTTATGGAGGTAAGGCAATAAATAGGCTATAGT